CAAACCTGAAAATATAGTTATTTATATATATATATACTTTTTCTCTATCAATCTGAGTCTGGATCAATAAAGTCATACCTTTTAAAAAAAATAACAAATCTTTGGAATGGTTTAAGCCAACATTTCAGTAGAAAAACCAATAAAATATATCTGTAATTTTAAAAAAGGAATTTAAAAAAGGAATTAGAGAAGAATCTTTAAAACTTATTAATGTTTAAGGGATGGTGGGTACCAACTACTTAGTCAAGATGTAAAACACTGATGAATTTAATTTCAGAATTTGCTAAAGGTAAATTACAGCAAATTAGCTAGCCATCCAGACAACAGCCAATGGTTTGCTCTAATAAACATTAGCAGGGTCAGCATAAGGAAGAGAGAGCATACTGTAGGGACTTTAACCTAAGATTAACTTAAGAGCTCTAGCAATGATAGAAAACAGTAGAAATTTCTTCTTTGAGCTTCTATTTGGATTTACATCAAAATGTGGAAAAAAACTGGTCAGTGAAAATTGAAACATTTATTCCTAAAGTAACTAAACACATTGTAAGGTCCTTCAGATCCTCAAATCAATTCTTAAAGCTACAGACCGTCAGTTGACAGAAAAAAATAACTAAATAACCCCAGACACAATAATATATCTGGTGCCACGGAGCTTCCTTCTTTCTGTTCTGATTCTAATCATACAGCTCAGTGATGGAGTATTAACAAGAAATAAATTGTAATTAATAAAATGTACCTCTCATTAGAGACTTGACATTTTACCAGCAGTGCGTAAACACTGGTCCAGCTCCATCTTAATTATCTACTGCTTTGCAAATAAGAACCAGACCTCATTGTTTTTTGTATTTTTACTTTGGGTGACCTTTTACAGTAATCTTTATAGAATTAAATATATTTGGATTCTGTTTCATTTGCTTTCTGACCCTTGCTTTAAAACAACAGAAGTAAGGTCTGATATTGTTGCTGCAGATGATCAGTATCACAGAACCATAGAGATGTAACGATATGATGTTCAACTGACTGTTTGCCATAAGCCAACCTTTCCAATCATTACTTATTAAATGTAATCTGGTAAGTGAAAATTACAAGCATAGTTTAAGCCTAAGACTTCATAGGGTAGGCTAAGGTTACTAGGGGAAAAAATCCTTTAAAAAAGGTTAGCAATATGAAGGATCTAAAGTCCATTTAAAATAAAGACATACAGGAAACTTGTTGATTCAGTGTTGATAACAATTACTGTACAACTTTCCAAGAAGGGAAGCCAAATAAATGGTTAAATTACTATGCAGTCATGATAAAATTATTAGACCAACATTTTTTTTGTTATGTTTTGTCATGGTCATTGTATTCTTTCAGTAATATACCTTTCCGATAGGAAAAGGTTTATGTTTCTGTCATAATTTCCTGGATTGTGGGATTTTTAAATGAAAAGATGACTCAGTAAATTTATGCAGCAGTGTATCATGAAACCCAGGTGATATTGATTTAACAATAAGTAAAGGTTAAAGTGTTTTCTTCAAAATAACTTGCTGGAAAGGATTAACAGGTCTGTGTCGTATATCAGTGCGAGGGTGTTTTTGAACTTAAAGTTACTGATTGGAGTAAACATTCTGCGTTGGCACATTCAATTTTATTTTAATGCGTGTCTCACAGTGTGTGCATATATATACAGTATGTGTGTGTGGGGGGGGGATTAAATGTTATTTCTACTATTAAAATTTTTTTAAATAAGCGTTTGTCTTTTCAGTGTAAGTCTCTACCGGTTTTGAAGACTTCAGACTAAATTTGTCTTGCCCAAGGACACAACGACACTGAAAGCCAGAGACAGGGCTTGAACTGACAACCCTCCAGTTGCAGGAAAAACTGTTGCATCCATCGTCACTGTCTTCTCAGATTCGTTACTGGATTTAGGTCTAAATTTTGACTGGGCCATTCTAATGCATTAATATTATTTCATTCTTAGACATAAAATTTTAGCTCTGCCTGTTTTGTTTTTTTTATGATTTAACAGATAAAATTCCATCCCAGTCTCAAAACTATATATTCCTCTAAAAGTCTTTCTTCTGGTATTGCCCTGAATTTACTTGATATATATTTCTGTTGATAAAATTATGCTGTACAATGATAAGATGCTTTCCCCACCCTCACTGTATACTTGAAAGAAAATTAGCATGTTTAGTTGAGATTGTTTTTTCAAAATGCAACAGTTCAGTTACCAAGGCAGAACTAAGTAAATATATCTGTATTTGATTACCTTCTGTTTGCTCACAGGACTTAAAGTCCATCCTTCTCAGATAAGGAAAAGGAACATTTCATAATTTTTGGTTGGTGACAAAGAAAACACTGTTTCATAGGGTAAAATACAATTATTTCATTTGTTTTAAATTTGTAAATCTGTCTACTCAAAATTCAGATTTTACATAAAGTAAATAAATAAGCCAAACAAATAAAAAGATAAACCTGTTTTTGGGTTTGTTCTGCTCTTTAGTTCAGGTACAGCTGAAAAAGGTTTATGCAATTAGGTAAACATTATTGATTTTACTAGTGAAATTGCATGTAATTTATAGAGAACATATATATATATATATATATATATATATATATATATATATATATATATATATATAT